TGGAATAGTCTGTGTTGCTGTATTCTCTGAGCCAGTTGCCTTGAAGCTGTTCTGGATGTTAGATCATCTGGAGACCTCTCAGGGGATCTTCCTTGATCAAACCTTATTAGCCTGGAAGCAACCTACAGGTACTCATCTTCTGTGGAAACAAAAGCAGAACCTTTTTTCCAAAGCAACGTATCCTTAGACATAAATTTTGAAATTGAGATACCTTTAAAATATTCATATTGATTTAACTCAGCAGCCTTTACAATCAAATGTCTCTCTGCAGTTAAAAATCCCAAAGACAACACAATCCAGATTCTCTGTGTAATATCCTTCTTTACATGGCTTATTTTTTATATTACTTTTACTGTCTTTTTTAAAGAATTTTTAAAAACTATTTCTTTATATAACTGTCTATATTCATTTTCTTCTCTTTCCCAAGTCTATGTACATTTTTACGCACATTGTAAACTGTTTAGGGTTTATTTCATCTGAATCTGTCTTATTGTAAATCTATTACATTAAACTTCAGTATAACTAGGACTGCAATGGCAGCTTTGGCTGCTGGCTCTGCCCACCTCAGCTTCCTAACATGGAAGAGCTAAGTTTACCACCAGCTCTGGGGGAATCATGCTTACTGCTGACTCTGGGAAGCAGTGTATCCACGCCCCCATCCAGCAGCGTGTAACCCAAAAACCTTTTCTTTTTTTCTTTTCTTTTGTTTTTGTTTTGTTTTGTTTTTGTCTGTACTAGCAAAAGCTATATGTTGCAATCAAGCCCATATGCTGTGAACCCACCATACCATAGCTCAAGTCCACATGCCATGGAGTCTCTGTACCTTGGCATCTCTATATCTTGATCCACATGAGACATGAGTAGAAAGTTGTTTTTGTCTCCATTATTGTATGTTTAGAAGCCCCTTTTAAACTCTTTTAGGCCTTTTGGAAATTTGAGAGCCCCATGTTGATACGCCAAATGTAGCTGGAAGTTTTCCTGTGTCCTGACGCCAGTGGTTGGGACAAATCTCTCCCACTCACATCCCCCAAGTAAACAGACAGAGGCTTATATTAATTATAACTGCTTGGCCATTAGCTTATGCTTAATACTGGGTGCCAATTATAGAGGAATTTCTAAATGGTCTTATTAAATAAAAAAAAAACATAGAGCCAAATATAGAGGTGAAAGCCTTAGAGAGATCAGGGAAATAGGGAAAGCCACCAGCTAACCTTACCTCAACAAGTCTTCAGCTTCCAAATGATAAGTTTTAGGCCTCCTGAAAGCTTCTCTGCCATCCCAAAAAACTGAATCAGACCAAATCAGGAAAAGCCCAAGTAATTGGGTAAAGCACTCCTGGGCGATTCCCAGGCCTTGCAGAGGGGAAAAAGGGAGGAGACCAGAAGAACCATGTGTCTGTTTTCTGGGATGCCGCTTATATATCCCCTGTGGGAGTTGTCTTGAACCTCTCTGGGGCAGGAGCTATGTTTGCCTGGCTTTGAAGGGGTGGGTTTGGGGAGGAGCTGTGTGAGGTGGAGCTCCCACCCAAACACCAAATGCAAGTTACTTCCTGTCTACCCACCTCTATATTCCTTGCTATTCTGCCATCTGATTTGCTCTCTCTGTTCAGCTACATCACTTCCTCTTCCTACACAGCTCTGTCACTTCCTGTCTGTCTGTACAGATCTCCAGACCCACATTGTTAACTAGTTTTGGAATTTGAGCCACCACAGCTGGCTCAGTTTCCAGTGTGGCCTTGAACACACAGAGATCCTGCCTGCCAAGTGATAGGATTAAGGGTGTGTGCTACCGTTGCCTGACTTCTTTGTTTACTTATAATGGCTGACCTTTTCCTTTGATCTCCAGGCAAGCTTTATTTATTAAAGTACAAATAAAATATCCCCACATTTCAGCACAAATAAAGTATCACCACAAACAATTAAAGAAAAAGATGGCTTGAGTTTGAGAGAGAGAGCAAAGAGGAAGGCATGTGTGAGAGGCTACAGAGTTGAAAGGGAAAGGGAAAGTGATGTGATTGTATTTTAATTTAAAAAAATAAAAAAGAATAGTTTTTTTTTTTTAAATGTCAACTTCAAAGACCAAGATTACAGAAACCTTACTTCTTCTGTAGGTAAAATAATAAAACACAACACTACTCAAAGGACTTGAAAAAACTGGCAGGGTTGAAACATCCAAAAAGGAGCTTCAGACAGAAAACAATTAGCTTTGCTCTTCCCTCAGACAAGAGAATATTGTTGCTTCAGTTTTTCTTTTGATTCTGTTTAATTCTGTTTCATGGGCAATTATCCTATTAAGTTGGCTTCTTTGTTTTGTCGTAAGTAATTAAATGCTCAGAGCTTGAGATTTCCTGCTTCAAGAGCAAAATTTAGGACCAAAAACTTTGTTTTTCTCATAAATTTTCAGCATGTATAGAGAGCCCTTCCACAAGAACACGTGCTCAAGATTTCCCTGAGATGGGGCTCCAGAGACCCTGGGAAGGGAACTGAAGGTGTATGCTGGAGAGCTGGGAGTATATGTGAGTCTGTGTGTGAAGCCCACATAGTGGCTGCTATTCTCATTCTTTTACTCAAAATCAGCTCAGACATTTACTAAGCACTTTCCACAGAGCTAGGAATACTCAAGGGAAATGTTCTTTATTTTTAAAAATGTAAAGAAAACATTTCAGAAAATAAGCATACTATTTTAAAAAGAAAAGATGCCCAAGATTTAGGGTCAGGTAAAACTGGATTCAAATTACAGATTTTTCTATGCCCGTGTTGTTCTGGAAATGTCATAAGACCTCCTGCATCTTTAATTCTTGACCCATCTCATTACATAAAAAGTAGACTGGGAAATTATAAGACAATTGAAAGAACTAGTTGTGTGGTACATGATGTATGGTCATGATAGTTAGTGGGTTATCAGTTTACCACTGTGATGGTTTTTATTAACTGTCAGATTGACAAGCTCTAGAAAAGTCTTGGAGACAAAACTCTGGGCATGTCTGTGAGGGATTATCTAGAGTAGTTTAATTAAAATGGGAAAACTGAGCCTAAACGGAAATGGCACCATCCTATAGGATGGGGCCATGAACTTCATAAAAAGGAAAAGGTAACCTTCAGCTTCAAGTGCCCGCCAGCCGGGGAGGAAGCTGAGGGTGAGAGCCACCCAGGCCTTTGGAATTTCCCCCATGTGAGCGCCAGATATTGGTGAAATTATTAAGGCCACTCCATGTAGTTAAAAGGGAGGTTTATTTAGTGGCATAACTTACAAATGAAGGGATAGGTAGGTTGCAGGGTCTGGGAAAGACGTAGCACATTCCAACGGTGTTCTCTGGAGAACTCTGCTCGGTCTACCTCCAGCATCCAGGGTCCAGGAACCAAGAGAGGTGGCGCATCTGGATCTCAGGTCTTCAGGGTCCTTTCTTGGCCCGGCCTTGTAGGCGTGACAGTTACCGAAGCCTCAATGGGGGTTGGAACTTCCAGATCAAAGCTGGAATGGCTACCCACTACAAATACACTTTGTTCTCCGTTTCCTGACTGATGATACAATGTGAAAAGCAGCCTCACACTCCTGCTACCATGCATTCTTCATCATGATGTACGATCCCTCAAACTATGAGCAGAACAAACCTTAAAGTTGCTTCGGTCAGGTGTTTTGTTGCAGCAACAAAGAAACTAGTTTAATCATGATGCACTGTGGCTTCACTATAATAGGAATATATAAATGGCCCCATCACCATGTTTTACAATATTTAGATTTTATTACCCAATGAGATTAGCCAGGGTTGCCCATATGGACTTGGATATGAAGGTATCCACTGCAACAGGGGTAACTCAGCAGTGGCTTCACCACTGAGGACAATAACCTCACCACCGGCAGTCATTGGCTGCTGTTAGCACGTCTGTATGGGACTGGACCTCATGAGCCACTCCTCCATTTGTGACTGAATCTTTAGGGGCTCGCTCTTCTGCAGACCTTACGGAGGCACTTGTAACTGCCGCAAGTTCATGAGTGCCACGGTATGTCATGCCCACAAGGCATTTCACATCCCCCTTATCACACAGTTCTTATATTATTTCTCCCCCTTACACAAAGTAAAAATATGTAAACCATGTGGGATGGATGATTTATGGGAAGAGGAGGGTATGGGGGGATGGATGTGACCATAATGTATTACATTCATACACAATTAAACAATTAAAAACAATTAAACGAAATAATTAAAAAAATAATCAATAAAAAAATTTATTCAGGCCAGGCATAGTGGCACACATATTGGGAGGCAAAGGCAGGTAGACCACTATGAGTTTCAGGCCCACCTTGTCTACATAACAAGTTTCAGGCCACCCAGGGCTAGATAGTGAGACTATCTCAAGAAACATTATTTTCCATGAACAGTTACATTATAAGAAAGCTTGAGAAAAGACAATAAGCAAGCTAATGCATCCATAAGTGAGAAGGTATGCCTGTCCCCTGTGTTACAAATCCTATTTTGCCAGTAGTTTGATATAATCTCCTGGGTTCTAAATAAGGATGGCTATGATTTTGATTTTGTGGCCAGTTGAGGCTTAATGTAAGCCAAACTTTTTTAGAAATCTTTTCCCATGTTCGTGCCCAGGATGCTGAGACAATCTCAGAGCTGTAAGAGATAAAAAGAGATAAAGCGAGTTTGTACATCTCATTTTTGTTCTAATTTAGGTCTCACCTGATGGAACAGCAGAGCTCCTCACATTGGTCAGGGCAGCCACTGTTCTTCAGGCCCAGATCCAAATGCTAATCTTTTGTAAAAAAAATAAGTTCATAGCACAATGGGACTTGGTGTTTCACTGTCTATCTAGGCATCTCTTAGCCTCACATGGTCATGTCACAGGTCACGCTGGAGGAGTTGACTGCATATCAGGACACTTGAACACACATTTGAGACCTTCAATGTCTTTCCTTCTGGGCTGATGCCCCTCCACAGGCACCTAAAACATGGTTGTCTGTAAATTTCTGTATCTATCACCTTGTGTTCCATCCTGTAGATACCGATTGGCTGCAAAGTGGCTCATCTAATTATTCCTTGTGGGGTTCCTTTGGATTCTCTCTTTTTTTCTATATAAGGCAACAATTTTTTTTT